GAGAAAATAAGGTAGTGGGCAAGGAGAGACACAACACACACACATCCCACACACACTCACACACAACACACACATCCCACACACACTCACACACACACTCACATCCCACACACACTCACACACATCCCACACACACTCACACACAACACACACACACACATCCCACACACACTCACACACAACACACACACACTCACACACATCCCACACACACTCACACACAACAAACACACATCCCACACACACTCACACACAACACACACACACATCCCACACACACTCACACACAACACACACACATACCACACACACAACATACACACATCCCACACACAACACACACACATCCCACACACACTCACACACAACACACACACATCCCACACACACATCCCACACACACACATCCCACACACACTCACACACAACACACACACATACCACACACACTCACACACATCCCACACACACACATCCCACACACACTCACACACATCCCACACACACATCCCACACACACTCACACACACAACACACATCCCACACACACATCCCACACACACAAATCCCACACACACTCACACACAACACACACACAACACACACATCCCACACACACACACATCCCATACTCACTCACACACAACACACACACATCCCACACAAATCACACACACACTCACACACAACACATACAATACACACACATCTCACACACACTCACACACATCTCACACACAACACACAACACACACACAACACACACACATCCCACACACACTCACACACAATATACACAACACACACATCCCACACACATCCCACACACAACACACACACAACACACACACACATCCCACACACACTCACACGCAATACACACAACACACACACATCCCAAACACACTCACACACAACACACACAATTTTTTACACACACATCCCACACACAACACATATCTCACACAAATCCCACACACACTCACACACATCCCACCCACACTCACACACAATACACACAACACACACAAATCCCACACACATCCCACACACACACAACACACACACATCCCACACACAATACACACATACATCCCACACACTCTCACACACAACACACACAATACACACACATCCCACACACACTCACACAACACACACAAATCCCACACACACTCACACACACAATACACACACACTCACACACAATACACACACACATCCCACACACACTCACACACACACATCCCACACAAATCCCACACAATACACACATCCCACAAAACACTCACACACACACATCCTACACACACTCA